AATCTCTTAAGAAGTCCATGACGTCGTTCTCGTTCATCATTTTTTGTTCTTTTTTTCTTTCAATTTCTAACAGTTCTTTTGCTTCTAACTATGCGAATTAATGTTGCAAGATGGAGAATTTCAAATTTTTTGCCCCTCTTTCTTTTTTGTTTTCTTCTCCTGAGAGGTCCAACTGTAGCGTATATGCGACGTTTTGCTTTCTTTTTTTCTTTTTGTTTTAAATAATAAACTATGCGACAAAATATGCGAAATAACAGCTGTCGAGTAATGTCCGCGTAACAAGCGCCATACTTTCGCAATTCCGATGCATTTTAAATAAACAAAATAAATATAATGGTTTAGTTTCCGTATCGCTTTCGCAGTTTAATACCCTGCGGTAGACCTGCGAATTAACGCATATCCGTCGTGAGAAGACTTTGAGGGTAGGCCTGTATCAGTAGAGATAGTTTCGACGCTCGCATAAAGAATCAGACCAAAATAATTGTTTAATATAATTGTTTTACACTAAAAGTGGGTATGCGAATATCCTCCAGTTGACATGCGAATGCATTATGCGACGTTTATTTGTCGCAATTATGTGTGTCGCAGGATAGAAAATCTCCAAAAACAATTTTTGTTTAAATAAACTCTTCGATTATACTACGAATGTTGTGCGGTTTGTATGCTAATTTGTTTCGACTAATTTTTTAGGCGACGTTTGTATTTCGACTAATTGTCGCAGGTTCATTAGCCTAAACTACGTGTTATGCGTTTATTGTGCGTAATATTTTCGACTAATAGTCTCAGGTTCATTTCGCCTAAAAAAGAATTTTCAAAAAATTAAATTCTAAAAAAAATTTATTATGCAACCACTAGGCGAATAATACGCGACGTTTGTATTTCGCAGAATAGAAAATTTCAAAAAGAAATAAAAAAAAAAAATAAATAAATTTTTCTTCATTTATACTACACGAGTGTTTCTCAATGTGTGTCGCAGAATAGAAAATTTTCAAAAATAGTTTCTTTTTCTTATTATGCACCAACTAGGCGAACAATATGCGAAGATTGTATTTCGCAGAATAAAAGATCGAATAGAAATCCCTACACTACTACTTTTACAGTCGCTTCAACCCCAGCCGATTACAAAGTTAAAAAAAAAAATAAATCGAAGGACCAGCCAAGCCTAAGAAAAAGCTAGGACGAGGGAGCTGACGAGCTACCAGCCTACCACAGCACTCAGACGCCAGGAAGATGAGCTGTAGGTGGAGCTTGTTTGTGGAGTTCCATGTAGAACTCCAGCATGAGATCGGCCCCGACCACCACGTCTGAACCGATGGGCTCTGCCGGGTTTCGGGAAGAGATCCCCGTCGAGCAAACAACTTCTTCTGTCAGGAAAACCTGGCCGACCACAACCTAGAGAGGTTGAGGCCAGCATTGCCTCTGACAGAGGGCCGGGCCGTTACGCCCCGACCGCCGACGCGCGTCGTTCCGACCTTCAACCTTCTCACAGTTGATACGGCAATACCCAGGCCCGGAGGTTTGATCTTCATCGTCGTTGTCTCGGCATATATGTTTCCTGTCGGGGCCAAGTTAATAAAGTTGGATAGCGGAATTTATGCTCGTTGAATTTTTTCCTCCGACGAATTCGAAAGATTAAGAGTTATCAATTCGGACACAGTAATGTAAAAGAATAGCCTCACGGGTCGAAAGAAAGAATTTTTGTAACTCTGGTTTATCTCCAGCGAACTGCTTCTCATATACAAGAAAAGGGAAAAACAGAGGTCCATTAACAAAGAGTTTCTGTGGGACGGATGGGTAGTAAGAGAAGTGGCATTATATGGATCGAAGATTACACGATTTATATAGACGGATGAAACGATTCGCGTGCACGCTTTTACTGCCCAGGCGTTTTGAAAAGCGGATAAGACACCTCGAAATCGGCCGTAACGTTCCAACTGCCAGCGGTTTCTAAACCATTCAAAAATTTAAATTTTAAAAAAATAAACTTTCGATCGATGAAAGATGAAAGAAATAAAAAATAAACTTTCGAGTAGAAGAGCGAAGGGGGTATGCGAGGAATATGCGGTAATTCGCATACCCCATCGCATAACTGAAATAACAGAAAGATGAAAGAAATAAAAAATAAACTTTCGAGTAGAAGTGCGAAGGTGGTATGCGAGTAATATGCGGCAATTCGCATACCCCATCGCATAACTGAACTAATGAAGGATGAAAGAAATAAAAAAATAAATAAAAAATACACTTTCGAGTAGAAGTGCGAAGGGGGTATGCTAGCAATATGCGGTAATTCGCATACCGCCTCGCATAACTGAAAGATGAAAGAAATACGAAAAAAAACTTATTATGCACTAATTCCACGAATAATATGCGACGTTGGCATGTCGCAGTTGTGTCGCAGAATAATTTTTTCGACTAATAGTCGCAGTTCATTCGCCTAACAAAAATAATTATTTAATGGGCGACGGACCGCGATTGATCGAATCGTACATCGAATCTTCGAATATTCATCGTAGAACAGTCGCATACTTTAACTCATAATTTCTCGCCCATGCTCATACTTGTCGCCTATTTAGCGCATAGTTCATCGCATACGTCTTCGTACTTTTTGGGGTGAAAAACTTAGCTTTTATTGGGTGGTGTGAAAAACTTAGTATGACTTCAGAACGGGGTGAAAATAGCTATTTCCTCAATATTTAACATCATTACACATGAAACCTTACTAGTTTATTAATATATTAGTAATATAAGGATAAACAAACCAAAAAATATATAAGAATGCGAATACCATAAAAAAAATAAATAAATAAAACCCGCGGGCGGGCCAATTTGGCCCGCGGGCTAATGCGGGCGGGCTACGGGCTATGGATTTCCCAGCCCGTAGAAATGCGGGCCATTTTGGCCCGCCCCGTTTGAACCGCGGGTCGGGCCAGACCGGCCCGTTTGATAGTGCTAGCTATATCTGACATTCTTTGGCTTCAATCTCTCTTTCACGAGCTTGGTCTCTTTTATGAATCTCCCTCGGTGTTATGGTATGACAATAGTAATGCGGCTGCTCTTACCTCCAATCTGGTTCATCATGCTCGTACTAAGCATATTGAGGTTGATATCCATTTTGTGCGCGAGAAAGTAGCTTCTAAAGTGGTTGATGTTCGATATATGCCCTCTGAATCTCAGTTGGCTGATGTTCTTACAAAGGCTCTGTCGGCTTCTCGTTTTCATTATCATCGGTCTTGTCTTCCCATGCGTGCCAAAGATTTTGTTCAACCGCGCTTGGTTTGGTGGGGGTGTATTAGATTAACCCTATTTAGTTAGTTAAATGCATGTGCATGGAGTTAGTTAGCAATAGAGTTAGTTTTTAACTAATTCTAGTTAAGCTCATAATTAATGAGTTGATCTCATATATGTACTCATCTGTACTCAGAAAACATAATTAATGAATTGAGTTTTCTATTGTACCTCTTAGCTCAATTTCTCTCTCTCTCTACCTTCTCTAACAAAGAGAAAATCCCATCAAAGTAAGTAATGGATGCTCTAGAATGCCCTATATGTATACAAAACTCATACCCCAAATGACTTTCAATTATGCATGTCTTTTTTCATCATAAAAAATCATGTTCGTAAGCATTACACAGTTGTTTGTATCAAAGTCACACTAAGAATTTGTG